GGTGCATTTTTCAGCTCCATGCATGCAGAAAGCCTCATTGAAATGTGGGCAGACTTTGAGTCACTGCCCAGAGTCTTATTTCTCATTGAAGCTTTTTTAGAAGCAGGTTTGCCTATATGAATTTGGACTGGAATCATGGGCAAACACAAATTTAGCACCATATAATAGCTTTGAACATCTGTCCATGGTCTCATTCAAATTCAAGAAATACTCTGACAGTAGTGAGACTGACTGTGCAGCGGTTCAGCTGGAATGAGAAAAAGGCTTAGATGAGGCAATATTTACACGAAGAGGATGTATTAGGAAATATGTTTATGTGGTGGCTCGTTTTAGAAGGTCAAATAACTACCATGAAGTAATTAATGTGCTTTTTTTCCCCTTTTCTTTTGGGCAAATAATGAGATTATATAAGCTATAGAGAAAAAAAAGACTTAGTTGCCTTCCTCAATATTGTATTCTGTAGTCAAATTTTTCGTCAACTTGACTACTGTTTGTTTTGGGTGACTACTATATCACCAAAACAACAAATTGATCACATACATGACTTTAATTATTCTGATCATTACTTGGCAGGCTTAATGCTATTTTCAAGTGTAGTTAAATAAATAAATTAGGTAAAACTGGAATTCAGGGCTTTAAATCTAATCTGTAACTATGTTAATAGAGGTCTTAGAGGAAGGATTTGCATGTTTGGAGCATGGCATGGAACTGGAAAAGTCTTCAGCTCGGTTTTTCTCTTAGTAGGTTTTTATTTCATTGTTTATCTATAAATAGTTTAGCACTGTTAAAGCTACAGTGTGTAATTTTCAGCGACATCTAACATCCAGACTGCAGACTGCAGCAACATGAACGTCTCCCCCCCACCGCTTCTCCCCCCCAACAGTACGGCGAGCGTTAGGGGACAAAATGTCTTCCACGACGTCGGAATCACCTACCTTCTCAAGTGATGAGGTTTGTTTACATAGATAATTTTACAGATAGTATTTCATTAGTCTGTGTAGGGTATAGATTTCATGTAGACTTTAGATAATAAATATACCCGTTATTTTTTCTACATCGTTGTGACGTTTTGGTGAGCTGCTTTGCATGGTGATATAAACAGACGAAGTAATTGTAGTCATTAGTTTAACAGCGAGATTGTGTTCGCTGGAAGAATATATATTCCCCGTTTACAGAGTCCAAGTCTTGTTTGTTGCACGGGGGTTACAAGGCGAGGAAGAGGGAGAGAAAGAGGGCGAGGGCAGAGAGGCCGGGGTGGGCGTGCAGCTAGGGCCAGGCGAGGGAGGGGTGCCAGCGGGGTGAGAGCAGAGGAAGAAAGGCTTGAAGATCTCCAAAGGAGCCGGAGAGAAGTAACCGAGGTATATATCCAGAAAATTATTTTACAGAAAATTACTGAATCATTACCTGTGAAACGTCAGGGACGTTGCTGAATAAGTATACTGGAGAGTAACAGCATCATCACGCAGCATGTTATTGTTTTAGACAGGTCTGAGCATCCTGTACTCCAAAAACTGCAGTGATATTAGACAATTGTGTGTGTAGGATTAATTACCTGTCCAAGACAAAACTGGCAACTTGAGCGTCACTTTGAAAACCTTTTTCCTCCATCAGTGACTTCCATCGTGTAAATGCCGTGCCAATGTTGATCCGTGTTTTTTGTCATTTCTTATCACGCTTGCGTTTATTCTCGTCGTGTTTCCGCTTCTTAGATGATGGGGGTTCGGTGTCCGCCGCTTTTCGTTGTGATACAGAGTAGGCATGATCCTCCATTCGTCTGATGTTTGGCCACACAGTGCCAAACAGTTTGCAAAGTCACTCACGCCTGCCGCCTTGTTCACCTTTCTTGTTACTGAGGCGCAGTATACCTGCTTCTTCTTCTTCTTTGGTTTCAGGCAGACTAAACGCTTCTCAGGCATAATACTGCCATCTACTGTTCAGTACCGTCTCAGTTAATCTCTCTCAACTTGCCGTAGTTATTTTTGAGCGTCATGGAAGATCTCGCAATCGCTAGTTTGTTGCCTCTGCGCTTGCCGTAGCGCAAAGATGTCTGCCTCCATGGCTGCGAGACCCGCTCCTATGTAATTATAAATAACGAATTCTAAGGCAACGCAAATATTATGGTTAAAAGGCTGAGCTCATAGGTGATGATAAATAACATAGTTATGTATAATATATTAAATTTCTGACTTTATATCCCTGTAATTATTACACACTGTAGCTTTAAAGTACCTCCTCAATATGTGTTCCAAGCCCAGGCTGTTGTTTGCAAACCTTTTGATGTTTAGGTAAAAATTTGTCTTTCAACTTAAATAATTTAAAGGATGCATATGTTCGCTTTAAAAAAAAAATCTAAATGACAGAGAATACTTTAATAGACTAATATACTGGAGCTTTCTTTATATGTTACAAAACAAACCATAAAATCCTAAATTTGTTTCCATGAATACAGCTGTGCCATATAATAATAATAAATCTGTTTATCTTTTCCTCAGTTCTTTAACCTCTTACACCCTAAGGGGGTATAAATAAATTTCCACCTGACAAAAACACACAAAAGTAAATAACTTATAGCCTCAAAGCTATTAGATTTAAGAAGAAACTTTTGGTACGTCTGTAAAGGTAAGATGTCATAGAATGGTTTTCTGGTGTCAGCACCATTGTAGCTTTGACCCTGCCTGAAATATTAGGGACAAAATACAAAATATTTTGCATTTTTTGAACCTCGCCAAAATTTTCTTTGAAATAAACATTGCAAAACACTACCAAAATATTATTTATAGCACAAAAAAGTAGTACAGACTTTCAAATCTAAATGTTGTGTAAAAATATACCAAATTTGGACTCAATCAGATGAATCATATTTATTTTAGAATGGTATTAGTGAGAAATTCCTTAGGCGGAGAGGCCATTTTGGCACATTTATCCATAAATGTCACCAAACTGTGCCAAATATGTTTTTTACATCAATACTGGGGGTTTGTTAAAATTACGAGGTCACGTAGCAGCTGGACCCACCGGTGGGTCCGTAGGGTTCAAGGGGTTAAGTTATCTCCACCCGTCTTAACACAGGAAAAAAAACATCTGGGTTTACAGGTTAACGCCAGTTTGAAAAGTTCAGAAAGTTTGACTTTCAACTGAAAGTCTGAATTACATGTTTTAATAACATATTCAGCCTTGGGCTTTTGATGTTTCATTCAGCTGCATCAAAAAGTGTTCTTCACACCAGTTTGCTGGGATAGAGAAGACCTTTAAACCTGTTTATACTGTGCCTTCTATGTTATTCTGAGTGGTTTTCATGGATGGTTTCATAAAGCCAGGTAGCCTTCGGTCCTCTCCCACATTAAAGGATTGAAGGCAGGTTTAAGCAAGTTTTGAGCTTGCACTATTTAAGCTCAAATAGTCAAAATATGCATTATAATTTCTCTAAATCAAAAACAGAAGATAATTAATTTTTTACTAATCAATATACACTATAACTATAACTTAAAGTAAAGGGTTTTTTTTTGCTTCCAGTAGTCCTTATCATTGTTGAATTGCCTTAGTAGAGATTTTTTTCTTTTTGATGATTTCACACAAAACAAATATGTTTCCCAGCAAAGTTTTAAAAGTTGTTGCTGGGAAACAGCATAAGCTCTGAGTCTGCACCTTGAAGCTTTCTCTCTCCAGTTCTTTTTCCTGAAAAGAGATCACTCGGGACAAACTCTTTAAATAACACTTCATATAGGAGACCAGGAGACATGACAACAGATTTTTTATAGAAATTGTAATCTTACTCAGAACAGAGAAGTTGCTTAGAGTTACAAAAGGCAGCTCTTATAAGTGGCTCTTATTACCCAGCAACAATTAGAGCCAAGAGCTGAGGGCGTCTCTAATGGTAGATGAAGTTAATTTTAGATTAGGTTAATAGCAAAAGGACATCTTACATGAAAAATGCAGAGAAATGTTAAAACATTAGTGGAAATAACCTGCATATCAATTCGAATAACTTAAAAAACTAGATTAACAACTGAAATATTCTTTCAGGTTTATAAAGTTTTGACCAAATTCCTGCATTTCTAGATTTTCTGAGCGCACTCAGCAAATATACAGTTAACAGGTTTGATCTCGTATGTCTTTTTTTTTTATCAGCACTGGTTTTGTAAGGCAGATGCTTATTATATGATTGGACAGTAATAAATACTGAACAATGCAAAAAATTCTCCCCTGCTATAAGTTTAAATAACACATTTATCATAAATGTTGATGATTTACAATATATGTGCATATTTAGTTTGCTTTAAGATAATTATCATTGATAATGTGTTAAGTCTATTACACCTTAATATTAGCTGCCTGTTGCATGTCAGAAGTGATGTTTTCCCCAGTAATTTATCTAATTAAGACAGTTCCTCTATCCTGATATACAATTATAATCTTTATTCTGAATGTGGCAAAGATTTGGGAATGGAATGAGAGCAGCGTCCTTCAGCAAAGAACAAAGTGTAATATTTTGATAAGGCTGGAGTCATGGATGTCTCCTCATCTGCTAATGTGTATGATGTAATGATGTGATGATGTGGCAGACTGGAGTATAAAATGATTCTCTCACTATTTATGATGGTGTTCATATTTAGACTACAATCAAAAGAAACATTTTAGTTAAATTAAAAATGTGCTCTGTGTTAATTTAATACTTTAGGCTTAATTAAACCGAATAAATAATTTATACACATTACTACGGATTTATTAGCATTAATAAAAAAAAAACCTTGCCTAAACATTTCCTATAATGTTTCTGTTTTAATCACATTAACATGATCCTCCTGAAAAATGCGATTTGCTTAAAGCAAACCGCAGCTCTCGGCATTTCAGGGTTCCAACAGTCCCTCTGTCAACAGTTTTTTTGGTTTTTCAGACATAGCATGAAAACAGCTCTTATTTTCTTGTCTCTGTAATGATGCAGCACCTGCTTTCAGTGACCTTTAAAGTGTTGAGCAAATGTTTGTCTCTCATCCACACAGAAGCAGTTTGTGTTCGGGACTGGCTGACGTCTCGTTTCTGCCTGACTCTCCGCTCCCTCGGCCGCTGCCGCCTGCCAAACATGCAAATCCAGTGTTGCAAGACGTGCAGTCAGCGTGGCAGCATCAGCAGGGTGTTTCGCCACTGAGGTCCCAATATCTCCTGGGCTGCATCCATGGGGTAAAAAAACAACAGGTCATTACAGGGAGTCAACCACTGGGGAGCTCTACTGAACAACAGATAAATGAACAGGCACTGAGACACGTGCAGCACAATAGGCTGATGTGCAGTACTGAAAGCAACAAACCAAGAATGTAAACATTTGTTTGTCCTTTTTATGTAAGACAATTTGACGACGTCCGTTTGGCAGAATTAAGTGTTTTTACATAAGATGAGATCCTTCCAGTGTACCCAGCTATAATGCATTAATACACATATAGATAAACTGCAAATTAATCTTTTAAGTTGTAATTTTATTTTTTTTTAGTTTAATGGTGGCTGCGGAATCCTACAATGTACAGATCAGTGGTTTTCCGTATGTGGTACAGGTGCTGGGGAAGCAAAACATATGGTGCATAGCTGATACCAGAGACACTATTTCACTAAGTCCTATGCTTTTGGCATCTTTATTTCTTTTTGCTATTATGGTAGCTTTTGGTTTATGGGCCTTACAAACCAAGGTTTATGTAAAATGACAAAGCCTTCCAGAAAGCTTTTAAAATCCTCTTCATGAAACTGGTATCCAACAGCGTCTTCAGCCAGAGGCTTCTTCAGAGCTGTAAGACAGACCGGTACACACCTATCAGCATCACTCTGTAAAGGAGCCTTTTCAATTCATTTAAGTTAACACATCAGGGTCTAACTGGGAAATCTTTCAGCAGCTTTCCAGAAACATATATATCATAGAAAACCTTTCAAAAATGTTTCTTTTTTGATTTAAAGTTTAAAAAAGGCCCAAGTGGAACCGTCACATTATTCCCTATATGAAGCATATGTAAAAGGAATGGCTTACCATGTGTAAACACAGCCTGAACCTCACATTAAATCCCTGATTCCAACTGCATTCCTACTATCTGTTTCAATTTGCATGTTTTCTAAACAAAATCAAAGCTTTGTCAGGCTACTGTATAAAACGTCAAACTCAACGCTATTTCTGACATATGAATTGAAAAAGCGAAATGTCTTCAAACTTAGAAACAAAGTTCAGTGGATATATATATAGTATATCACTAGAGAAAATGTGCTGCTCTATTTTTACAAACTCCCATCTTAAAGAGAGTAGTTGAAGCTCTGAAGGCACACTTTCACCTCAGGAATATTTTCAAGATGCTGGTGTTGAATTCTTACACTGTTTACTCCCCTGAGTTTCCATTTTATTCACCTGGGTAGAAATATGTGCTCCAAAAAGGCCCTAGTAGGGAGATGATAGTTTGTTTTTTTTATTCAGCAGAAAGTTTTGGATGAATTTTTGAACAAGGGATTGCTGAGAATGTGGAATTAGTGTGTTTTTTAAATGTTAAATCAGTTATATCAAGAGTTTTCAGCTCTTACGTTTTACCTTTAACATGTTTTAATCTTATGTTTCTTTTCAGTCGGCAAAGGAAGGAATTACTCCTGTGTTTAAATTCATATTTCGAAATTTCATGTGACGTTTATGACTAGAACACCAGGTTTCATTTCTGACTAAATCCGAGTTTCTAAAAGCTGAAAGGGACCTTAGTAATTATTTAATTTAGCTCTCATCTTATAGGTTGAGCTGGATCACTAGTTGTGTTGAGTGTAAAGATATGATTTTTACTGCTGGCTCTGTGTTTTCTCCAGTCAAACAACTCAATGAAAGGCTCACTGGTCCAGGGGATTAGAATTAATGTTAACTTTGCTGCTTTTTAGCAAGCAGATATAAAGATTATAGCAGTTGAAAGAGCATATTGCTAAGCCTCAATTATAAACATCCGGTTATTTTGGTAATTGATTCTTATTAAGAGAACCAGAGTTCTTTACATCTGAAATAGAAAGAATGGAGCTGAAATTTAAATCTCAAAATGGAAAAATAAGTTGTCATCAATCATCTCTTTTTAGGTGTATTATTGAAAAAGCTCACCCATTAAACCTCATAAAATTCTCAGAATATTGAAAATGCCATCATAAGTCACTGTCTTGGAATCAAGTAACCAATAGAAATATCTCCAGGGCTGAAACCTGGAGAATCTGATTCAGACGAAGAATAAGGCTTCATTTTCTATGTCAAACACTTTACAGGACTATGGGACAGAAAATATTAACTTAACAGCATAAAGCTTAAAAGTTAGAACTGGTATTATTAGGAACTAACATTAAATCTCTTTGTTTCTCATCTTATTTGTTGTTTTATGGCTCCAGGCCACATTGTGAAACTCATTTTATTGTTATTTCATAAGGACCAGACGCAGCACTTGTGTTATAAATCTTGCCCGTGTAACTCCTGTTTGCAGTAGTGCTTAGAAATGTCCAGCAGCATATTTTAGAGGCCTTTACAAACATAAACCTCTACTTTAAAACAGCGTTTTTAAGTCAACGCTGATACATGGGAATTTATTTGCAAATCTGTCCCTCAGATACTTCTTCACAGTGGTTTTCTTGAGAAAACTAGTTAATTTTCTCATTATCTAAAGATAACTAAAGCCGTTTTCTCGTAATAACAAGATGATTGGTCTGTGTTAAGAGTGATTTTGTCCTTTAATACCACAACAGCTGGAGATGATTTGTAAGTATAAGTCATGGCAGCCTACGTGTAATTCTATAAAGAATTCTGTGTTTAACATTTAGGTTTGATGATTTGCTTTCACTTCTGATTCATAAGCAATTAACCATATGCTTAGAGCAGGGTGTATTCTGAACAGTCCCGGTTACGCCTGTAACAGGTACAAGATGAATGAACCCCCAAAATTAGTCCAGAATAAATATTTTCATATAAAAAACAGTCCGATTTGTTTCTACTGTATTCCATGCAATCCAGTCATCCATTACAACCTGACAATGACTAAAAAGAAGTAGGAAACAAAAAAAAACTGATTATTTGCCACGGCATCCCGACTGCACAACTACGGGCACCGCAGGCATGGATGGACTGGGAATCCAGGGCTTTTGGCCAGCCTCATTATTACTCAAGCAGGTTAATCATCTCGTTAGCTCAACAAATCAATAACTGCTTTCTCGTGATAACAAGATAATTACCTCATTAGAGATAATTATATCTCTAACAGAGATAATTATCTCGTTATCTCGAGAAAACAATTCATTGTTTAACCATGATAACAAGATACTTATGTCATTATCTCAAGAAAGCAAAGGGGGGGGGAGTTGAGTACGACCGCTCTCGGCTTCTGTATTCTGCCTGTGCTGTGATCTACAGAAACCTAGAAGAACAGAAAGGAAAAGTGAGACAATCCCTAAGGAATCTAAACAGTCACTTAAATGCTGACATGTACAGAATGGTCATGTTCTCCATACACAATCCTGTTTTCTAATAGAACCCTTAAAGTGTGCCTAAACTCAATTTAACGCCATAATACTGCACCCAGACAAATGTTAACCGATGCTTCTAAATTAGGGAGGGGTCCCAGGATGATTTAAGGAGGTTAAGTATTGGTGTGGTAAGGATTAAGGTAACTAACATTGAATTTAATATGACTTAATAAGCTAAGTACCTAAAAAAAACAAAATGCTATGCTGAATAACATAATAAAAGCCTCAGTTGAAAAATGCTTTTGATATTCACTATACTCACAACAGCAGCCCCTGACCGGCCACAGTGGCCTGTGTCTGTGACGTGGTTTTATGGTGCAGACTGCTTCTGTTCTGGATAAAACCTGGTGAAAATAAGCACACATGATCAAATTATTTTGTGCCGATATAAAACGTTTATTCGGACTCCTTTGTTTTTTTCGTTGCAATCCCAATACATTTCAATTCGATCAAGGCATTTTGTGCATAAAACATGGCTACGCACCAAGCCTAGCTGTTAACCTATAGAGATTAAGGCTAAAGTGTTTTGAGTATTGCGGAATAAAAGAAATGTCAAAATTTTTACAGCAGAGGTATCACCCTTAAGGCCCAAATTATACGCTTTATCTGCAAGAAAAAGTGTATTTGGGGTTTAGTTATTCACTAAAACAAGCACCAGCTCAGGTAAAGCACTGGAAGCTTAAGTGGATATGAATATAAAGGAGTCGGAGGAATCTAGATGCCAGGATTAGAGTTAATCAGATAGACTGCAATCAAAGAAACATCTGGCTTCATTTCTAAAGCTCTGGAACTTTTCACTGTTTTTATGAAGCAGAAACTAATCGCTGTAGTAAAAAATGCTTTCAATATGCTTTGGTTTCTCTGAGTCTTTACATGCCAAGTTATCCTCATTCTGTTGTTCCTGTCATTTTTCTCCCTTAGGAAGAACAGCAGATTTGTTGTAAAGGTGTAATAGAGCATCCACAGACTGAGGGTGGGCTTGTTAGCTCTCTGTTGCACCTTATTGAAAACCTTCATCATATTGTGTTGGATTACATTGTTACATTTTGGCTTTTGCTTAAAAAAAATGCTTCAGGAAATACTTGGTGCTAGGAGCTGCACAGGCTCCCCTCATTCTGTGTCAGTATCAGGTATTGGCCGGCCCGGTGCCTTTTCTACTTGAGCGGTGAATCGTCTGATGTTTGTAATCTTTGTTAAACTTGTCATTAAAAGTCAATCTTGAATGTTGTTTTAAATGAGTAAAGGTTTCACAAAAGCACAATTATGCTACATTTTATTACATAATATAAGAAAGTTAAAGGATAAACACAGCTAATGTACAAGTCTTTTATGTTTTCCTTTCTGTCTCTGCTTTGAAAATGACTAATTTCTTATATACCAATGAGACAGCAGTGGTACCTTCATGTTTCTATATTTGCTCATTTTTAACATTTGGCATAAACCAAACATGATGAACACATATGCCTCTCATAGATGTAGTTTGACCTCTTTGTACACCTCTGCAGAGAAAATAATTTTCAATAAAAATAAACTGTCTATTCCTTTTTTTTTGTTCAGCATCCATCACAAAACAAAGGAAATTCACAATTTTTATAAAACTGTCCCGCTCGCTGCTCCTTTTTTTGTTGTTTCTTATATAACATCTCCATTGAAGCTTTGCCATAGAGACTAAGAATTAATCCGATAAGGAGAAAATGTGATTCATGTCAGTACATGCTCTTACCAGTCAGCAGCACGCATGAAGAATATAAGATCAAACTCACAGCTGGAGTTTAGGTACAGCCTACATTGCTTTTATTAGCTGCAATAAATAAAAGTGTGATTTTACATTTACTACTTCTATACTATGTTCAATGCAAATAAATTACTCATAAATATGTAACTATGTCGTCATCTGATATTTTATAATCAATCACAATATCTGCCAAATGAATTCAGTCAGAAAATTCATTTCCATTTGTTTTAATATATTATTAGATTCCCAACAGAGATGTATTTTTACATCTAGAAATCGATTTGCAGCCAGTAAAACAGAAAATGAAAAACATGTTCCCTGCAAAGATTGTACTTTATTAAACACATCATTTTCCACATTTGCACACAAACAGATTCCTAATTTAAAAGTTAAAACAACTGACTGCACTTAAGGTGAATT